GGTCTTAGCCACAATGCCACAAAGCAATATTGAGAGGTTAAAGAAAAGGAGAAAAATATGAAAAGTGTCTACTCATGATCGAAAATAGGGCCGAGGATGTAGCTCAGTGGCGCTGTGCCTGCCTGGCAAGCACAAGGTCCTGAGTTCAATACTGGGTACTGGGTGGGGGGGAGACTAAAAATAACTGTAGTTTAAATAAATACTTGGATAACTGGGTCCTTTGTGTACAGAGGAAGAGGACTTTATGTTTTTGGTCATTTACATAAATTATACAACCAAAACCTTAATCTTGTTTCCAATTAGGGTCTGTAAACTACAAAGGCTTGTACCACAGATAACTGAACCTAATGACAAAAGAAAGGGAAGTACTAAGTCTCCCAAGTGACCTACAGCAAAGCTCAGCTCTAAAGAAGCCAAGAGCTACATGCCTATCACCCTGGTGGACAGCAGCCTCCTTCATGTCCACCTCCCACACAGTGTGTGTGAGGCCGAACTCTTCACTCTGGGTCCTGCAAACCCATCATCAGGGACGAGCTCGGGTCGATGGCTGTCCTCCCTCTCTTCCAGTCAGACCATCCCATGTGCCGTTTAGCGTCCTAAAAGCATCACATGTGAAAAGGCACCAAACCAACAGCCACCCAGATTTCTATCACAGGACACCAAAACTGCTAGGGGTTTTACTCTAGATGCCACTCCAGAGCTCATAGGCGCCACATTTAAAAGGCAAAGGCATGGATGCTTGTTCAGCTCTGAAAAGAAGAAAAGGAAGGTTCTTTAATGAGGCGCTAGGGTTTCAATGAGACCCAATGCCACCAGCACACAGGCTCCTCTCAGCTGTTGGAAATGGACACCTAACCAAAACCAAGACAGACAGGCCAGGCGCCTAACAACGAAACTCAATTTTTCTACTATAGAAACAGGTATTTGAATTTTTATAAAAGCATCAACATCTCCATTGTGCTTGCAAAAAAGAATTTCTTGGAAGACTCACTCCTGTGTCCTGACTGGATCTCAATGTTGCACTGAGACGTTCTGGTAACTTCTCAAGAACCTGGTCCATTTATCAATTTTTCAAGACATCATCATTCCATTCAAATATCTCAGTGGCTCTTGTAAAATATGTCCCACACATCTCTATTGCCAAGGCTTATCTCCGGCACAGTATGCAACCCAAAGATCACAGACAAGACACAGTCTCACAGGAGAGGCCGCAGTTATCCTAGAGCTGACTGCCACACAGTGGGGAGCAAGAGAGGAACCAGGGTTTCCAGGGAAGGCACCAGAGGCTGGGATTGTGTCAAGTCAGGCCTAACCATGCTGATTTAGTAATACGTAGCGGAGACTGAGCTGAGGCTGAATATGCAAACTGCCTGCTAGATATTAAAGAATCACTATGCATGTTAAATAGCATAGGTAAGATCACTAAGGTAGACTTTAGCCAACTTAAAAAGAGAACCTCAGCAAAAAGCCTCACAGTCCCAGGCGTTCTGCTGGAAGCACGGGCTGGGTGTGCTCAGGCCACACGTGTGGGACAGGTCTCAAGGGCCTGGGGTCTTGTGTGTCCCCAACCAAGTCACTCCTTGGCCTCCCTTACTCATCTGAGTTCATGAAGAGAGGGACGAGGCTCTCCCTGCCTGTCCCCAGTGCTTGTTAAGCCAAATGAGAAGTTGTCTGACATCATTTCCTTAAACATAAAATGAGTCACAACTATCTTTGTCATATGGTAATGTTAATTACAGATTATGTATTTAACCTAGCTTTTAATTGGGAAGCCACTACATATCTTATTTCTAAGATTTTCAGGGTTATTTATTCATTTTTGAAGATGCTTGTGCTTCTATCTTCTCCTAAATTGTAACTGCATGACAAGTACCTATGAGACTGCAGAAATATCAGGCTGAAATACTGATGTAAACGCACTACCCCATCTTTCCTAACGTTGCACATCTCATTAGTTGCATAAACAGGAAAATATTTAGGTGTTAAGCTCCTGGAAAAGCACAGGAGGCTGTTCTAATGTCAAATGGTCACAGACAAGGAACAAGGTAAAAACAGAAGGACGGTCTATAAGCAAATGCCCTATCTCTGATGGAATTCAGGGATTCAGGCAAATGTTTTGGTGCTAGCCAAGTGCTAAACAGGCACGTCAACCAAATCTGACTATGTTCACTGGGACTGTATAGGGAAAGCCATCAGGAAAACTCAATTATACACCAGTGGGGATCACAGGAGTAACCAGGTGGGAGCATGAAAACACCACACTATCTTTGCTGTACATCTATGAAAGTTATTCCAAAATAGTTACTTTTAATGACTTTTTAAATTAAAATGGGGTGGGGAGCTTGCCTTTAAGGAAGAGAAGGAGACATATCTTTAGTAGCAACATTCAGGGCTCTCACACAGCATCTCATTTCATTCTATCATCTTTTCACAAAGGTTTAAACCATAGGTTAGAAATCACCCCTATTTCACAGCTAAAGAAACACATAAAAAAAACCTCCCCAGGGTCCTACCTTTTCAGAAGTGGAGGTAGGATTCACTTTCTGATCCGCCTCATTCCAAAGCTAACACTCTGGCCATGGGACCTCAGTGGGAAAGGTAGGGTCCGGGGAAGGTCAAAATGGGAAACAAGGGCCCAACAAAGACAAATCCACCAAAAGGCTCATCCCAAACTGTGCCTGTGTTACCTAAAGGCTATCAGGAGGTTCTTTCCCTAATCCAGGAAGTGGTGCGGTCTCCCCTTGAAAAGGTGAGTTAAGAGACAAACCTGAAACTGGATGCCCTAGTTCACATGGGACAATCTGGAATGTACCTTCTTCTTACACCAAGTCGACCTCAAAATTCCCTCACCCTGAGGTCCAACACTCAGGACCCTCAGCTGCTAAAGTCACTGCACGGTGAGACTGGCTGAGTTAACCCAGGGCCAAGACTTAATGGAGAAAATGGGGGACAAGCAGCAAACACAGAAAAAGATATAGTTACAGAGGAGCACAAACCAAAAATCACAGGCCTTTCCAAACTCCCCAAAAAGAAACACTATCGCAAACAGGCCAGTAAGAAGCGGCTGAAGCTCTTGGGTCACAGTCCTTCTCTGCCTGATGTGCTGTGTGCCACCAGAGGGCACTAACTCATAGAATCATTTTTTTAAAGCTCCTATCATATACTTTAAGCTGCAGGAATGCTGAATGAAAATTAGATTTTAAATCGCTGAAGTGTTCAGTACGCAGTCTTGACAGTGCCTTTAAACATTCATCGGTCTTACATTTCTATTTAATTCCACAAAACTTACGAGTACACTCGTGCAGCAGCTAAAAACAGTAAGTTAAAAGTAAGATTCCAAAATCAAACTAGGAGCAATGCACTGCTCCTCCAATCTTGGATCACATCTTTCACATGCTCGCAACAAAAGCAACAAGAAAGATAAAACATTTTGGTTTCTTCTTTGCTTTGAGAAGCCATTCTTCAATGAATAAGAAGTGGACATTCACCATAATAAAATTACAGTATATTAAGCATGATTAAAACATGATTTAATCTTTCACACTTGAATCCTTCTACTAAACAAATTTTCAAGGGGTTCACTACATCCTAGGATGCTGTTCTAAGCACATTACTTACATAATACAACATCCTTCTGAGGCTTGAAAATGCTACTTTAGAACAAAGTTCAATCTTCCATTTCTTGAATGCAATCAAGAATTTTTCTTTACATTTGTGTCCTCCATTGGTGATGCATTTGTTCACAAAACTTACAAATATGCATCTGTAAGTTCTGCCTCATTGACCATCTTTTGCAGTTTTATACTTACCTCCCATCTCAGGCTAAGATTACATAATCCTAGTATTTCAGGAATAAATGAAAATGCATCATGTCCCAAAAGGTTTTTGTCTTGTGATACATAACATCTGCCCTTCTGTTTTCACACTGTATTTAAAAAGAGCTAAATCATATTTACTGATTTGAGCAGAAATAATGTTCACTATCAGTGTGAAATAAAATTCAAGTTTAACTGGTCCTTTGTCCTGGCTTTAGCTGATTCCCTCTGTGTGTAATGACCAAAGGTTATACTGAAATGAACAAAATCTGACCAATAAAATATGCTATACCTGAAAAGAAGTTTCAGTTCTTTAAACAATTCATCACAAGTCAGTGCTACAAATAAACTCACCTTGAGATAACAGCCTACATCACAGGATACTGTCTCCTTGGGGTTTTTGTTCTTTATTTAAAATTAAAAAAAAAAAAAGACCTCCTCAAAGGTTTTCAAGAACAACAATGATATTCCGACCTATGCCAACACAAAGAAGTGAGCAACTATGGCACCCGTAAGGGTGATCTGGATCAAAAGCACTTTTGTTAGTGTCATCTAAACACAGTTATGCATTGCTTAATGTGTCAACGGTGAAATCGTCACAGTATACTGATACAAACTAAGACATATGCCATCACTAGGCCACATAATCTGATGCTACCACCATCACATACAATATGTGGTCCACTGAAGGCCCAAAAGTCATTCTGTGGCACATGACTGCCATCACCTCCAAGTTCCCTGTATATTTTTGTCACTACCTGCACGATCTAGAAAATATTTCTCTTGCTTACTTAATGCCAAAACTAAATTATTAAATAATAAGGAAACTGTTCAGTACTTGCCAATTTTCTACCTTCCTGTTCTCATTTCTTGATGGTTCTTCCCAGACTCTCCCTAGGTGTCTTGCTGTTACAATATTCCAGAGACATGACTCATGCCTTTCCCACATCTATGTCTTCTACTATGCAGAAGGCACGGATACTAAGTTTGTAACTCATAACTCCAAAGTCCTCATATACTCTGGTTTCTTGCACCACCCTGAACCAAGCTGCTAGTTACTTTCACAGGAATTAAATTTTTACACTTATTCTCAAATTTTCACTACTTGATCTGCTTAAAAGGTACACAACATTCAAGAGCAAGTTAAAGGGAAAGATAAAGACGCAACACTAGTAACCCACAAGGTTCATTCAACGGCATTTATTAAAACTCCACCATGCCAGGCACTGGTCTACGTGCTGGGGACATGGGACAAGACAGACCCTGCTCTCACGGAGCTTCCATTCTCATGGGAGCAACACAGCAACACAGAAAGGGGTTGTCACTGAGGAGTAAGTGCTAATAAGAAAAGGGAAGCTTGCTAAGGGGAAGTGGATGGTGTCAGGGATGGTCCCACAGAGGCCTCAGGGACCGGGTGGCATGGGACTGCTGTCCTTCAGAGCTAAGTGGGGTGGAGGTCACTTTAATCTATTTCATTTTTAGTAGCATTCAGTTCAAATTAACCTGGGCTTCTGAGGACAATTAATGCAGTCACAGGACTGTCTTGAAGCCAGAATGGAGCTGGCAGGATGGTAAAGCTCTCCCTATGAGCTCTGCCAGCTTCGTCCCAATGTGTCAGCCCTCATGGCTCGAGCTCTCTGGATCCCTCTTCTTGCTGTGCCCATGAACAAGTGTGTGGTGAGAGCCTTAAATAAACAGGTGTAAAATGGGTCAAGGCCGTCACTTCTATTTCTGTTTTTAACTGAAGAAAATTTGCCCCATTTCGAGAGGCAGAGAGCGAGGAGGAGAAATCTGAATCAAGGCAACCTAGAGTGGGCATTAAACACACACACACATACACCTACCCCACAGGTATCACGTACATGTACACCCACATACATCTTTTACTTTCCTCTAACTCAAGATGGGGTCTTGCACAAATGTCTTTTTGCAATTATTACAGCATAACTTATTGGGTTATAGGCTGGTTTTATTTTGTTTTTCATGGTACAGGGGAATGAACCCGGGGCCTTCACACAGAGGAGCATTCCCAGCTCTTCTGTATTTAGAGACCGGACCTCACTAAACTGCTGGGGCTGGGCTCAAACTTGTAGCCAATGTACCTCAGCTTCCCAGAGTGCTGGGACTATAGGTGTGTGCACCATGCTGAGCTGGAGGTTGTATCTTTATGAGGCCACAAAACTTTTCTAAAGGATCAAATTAAAAATTAAAGGTTCAAAGATGATCAAGGCCCAGACTCAATTAACACTAATTTTAGAAGATTTCTTTTTAGTTATTGTGCATATTCAGCAAACTAATTCAGTTGTTTTTTTCTAACATAGTGTCCCAGGGGAGTCATTCTGAACAATCAGCTCTCTAATGCAGATTAACATGTCTAAGTACATATTGATATAACAGAACACAATGCTTCAAGAGGCTCCCTGCTAGAGACTGTTCATGAAGCACAGCCTTAAGAAGCTAGTCCTCAACTCTCAAAAATGCCAACTGGAAATCCAGGGTCAGGTCCACAGGTTACCAATGTACAGTACTCCAATGGGACACTGGAGGTCACTGAGTAAAAGAACTACCATTTCCTAACTAATTTAAGATCCTAACAACCCACAGGTCACATCCACATGGCTGTGAAGGACCAACAGGCACACTGATGCAGAGGAAAGCCTCGAAACTGCTCATTCACCTCCCTGGCTCAGGGTCTCCTGCAGGTGAAGAGTCCAGTGAGTGACTTCAGGTAAACAGGGAACGCTGTGTTTATTCAGTCTTACAGGCCAAGTTACAGCACTTGGGGAAGTGAGCAGATGCAAGTACTTCCCTAATTTGGGGCTGATTCCCAACAAAACTCAAACTAGCTGGATGTAAGTATGACCGTTCAATCCCAGGGTTACAGTACAGAGCAAAGACCTGGCCCACTGAGGCTCACGTGCAGTGCTGAGACGGGTCACTTCCACAAGCTTCGAACATGGTGCGGAAAAGGCCATGTCGTGAGAGGGGCCGCGGGCCTCTCACAGGAAGTCCTCATTACACTCCTGACCCATTTCCCTACTAGTTATTCAAGTAAACAATTAGTTACTCAAGATACCAGAACAAAATTTCAAGGTGCTCAAGGGTAAATTACATTTTTTTTTTTTTTACATAAACTGTGACCATCTCTGGAATCAGCAGCTTCTGACTTGCTTTCCACTGCTCTCTGTACATTTGCTTTCTGCAACCAAAATTTTAAGACCTGTATAAACAAAAACAGTATTTATTCTTCTCTTTCTCCAAAACAGTTATTACTTTTTTGTCTTGAAGGTATGTGACCCCACTACTACATCCCCCACCCAACCACCCAGATCCATTCACTCTCAACATGTGCAGATGCTGGGCTCTGGGGAAACAAAAATGGAGGCCCAGCACCTGCACCCAAGAAGTTTAGCGGGTTAAAGACACCACTGAAGAAACCACGACCACACATCATAGAGAGGGCCCCTGCAGAGTGAACTGAAGGGCAGGCTGTGCTGGCAGAGCCCAAGAAAGGGTGCAGGCATCTGGGCAGGCTGCTAGTCCATCCAGCAGATCCAGCAGAAAGAGGAAGGGCTGGCCAGAGCAGGGAAAAGACAGTACAATGTACCTGCACCTCCGGGAAGGGGAGACGAGGGGGGCAGTGCAGCTGGCTAGAGCACAATGCAGGGCACAAGGGAGGGCTGTGGGGTTTGCTGCTTCCCTACTTTGACCTGCACCTCCACACCTGGAGGCAGGAGCTGCAGGCTAATCCGGACTCCTCCGGTGGATGCACATCCAGGCGAGCACACACACAACTGCAGGAGTGCAGAGCACCGGGCACTAGTGAACCCTGCACCCTGGACCAGACGGAACACCTTCCCTGGCTAAGGTCAGGCTGATTGTGATGGTCAAGTAAGTTTCAGCAGGCGACTTTTAAAGAAATAAATAAATCACAAATTTAAATGTCATACTTTGGATTTTTTGAGCATTCTAGTGAGCAAGATATACATTAAGAAAGAACAAATGTCAACCTTGCTAGTATCTTAGACACGACTGTCATTTCAAACAAACTAGAATTTTGTGTGCACCAATTAAGTAATTATGCTAACAATGCTTTTAAAAAGTGAATACTTTGGTTCTTTTCCACAGCGTGTTATAATTTACAAGTGGCATCATAAAATAGCTCTTCTTTTGCTGGGATATGCCCCAGTCCATTTGTCATAAAGATTTATGTGTGAAGGGGTGACTTTGTAAGCAAACCACCATTTAGTGGAGAGAAAAACCTCAAAACAAATTACAATAAAGCCATTAATGTTCTTTTAATTTCTTGCTTAATTTCCAGTTCTTGGTATTCATACATTTCCCCATCAAGTGGCAACATTTTAATTAGAATAAAGAGAGTTTAAGAAAGCTCACGTACTGAGTAAGTTTGCATTACTACTGAATGCTGTTTCCCGAGCGCTTTCATGTGAATATGACAGTGCCAAGAGGGACAACACCATGTCTACAAAGAGAAATGCAGCTCATGATCCAGCAGATTCTCACAATGCTCTTAGATTTCTGAAGCTATGGGCTAACTAACCTAGAGTCCTTGTTCCTGGGACGTCAGCTGCTACAGTGGGAACAAGAATTGCTCCCTCAACACACAAGTCATCCAAGAACACAAGTTCACAAACATATTGCCCAAAGTAGGCTCCTCTTCTTATTTCCTCTTCCTTTTGGACTAATCTTAATATTGCAAGAAATCAAAGGAAACCCAAAGTACATTTAAAAGTGAAAAAGGTATGGAATCACTTGGGGGAGGGGCATGAGAAGTAGTAACAAGTGACCTGCACAGGTATTCCTGCTTATCCTTTCAAATTATTTTACTTTTTCTGGCCTACAAGGCTACACAATAGCTTCCTGATGTCATGATCCACTTTGTGTGTGGTTCTGTTCTTTTGTTTTGCACTGCAGAGACAGAACCCAGGCCCTCACAATAGTTTTTAGGCTAGCACTTTACCACGAGGCCACACCCCCAACTCCATCGACACTTTAAGGACTCAGTGTGGCCTAAAGCCTACATATATATACATATATCGCACACTGTAAACTCTGCAAGGAAAAGTGCTGACCAGATCTGCCTGTCAAAAGGATGTGGGCAGGCAGGGTCTGCATGCCGCCTCCTGCATCATGCGGGACACAACAGCCTCAAAGCTTCTAATACTGGCCTCTGTGGGGATTCAAACATCTTGAAGATGACTGAGCTAATAAGCATTATTAACAGACTTTGAGGGATTTGAGGATGATGCCAAAATAAAGATCGGCATCTTAAGATATGTCAAAATACAGGTGAGAATCTAAAAGATTTTTTTTTTCCTGGAAAAAAGGTGGCTGAACAAGTTGCTCACGTGGGTAATATCTTCTTCATTGGTGACTCAATGAAAGGCCTTCTGGATAGAAGTAAAAGCCCAAATGGAAACTGCTAGTTTTGGGAGATCCTGTCAAAATTACAGCCTGCGTTTCTAATATTTTGCTGTGACTCAGAAATCCTGCCCCAAACCCATAACTCCAGGAGGCATCACTCGGACTTACAATGAGGCCAGGGCAGCCCTCAGAGTCCACAGGGACTCTAAGCCTTGCCCGGGAGTGGCAGGTTATCCATGGCCACCCTCCTGCCTCCCAGCCCCACTCCAGGCAGAGCCCTTCACCAACCAGGCCTCTCTGCTCCTCGACTCCTCCCCTAGTAAGCTGGGTACATTACTTCCACAGCCACTCACAAAGCTCTACGCTGTCCAGCAAGGCTGCCACAAGCCTGAACTGTATCCGGGCAAGGAAGGTGCACGAAAGTGTAAAAAATACTGATTTCAACTGTACAAAATTGTAGCGTATCACAATAACTACTACACAGATTTCATGTTCACAGATTCTAGATATACTGGGCTAAATACAGTAAAATATATGACTGATATGACTGAAATTCACTGCATTTCTTCTTACTTTTAAAAGATATGGCCACTGGAACATGTGAAGTTACACATGGCTCCTCCCATGGACAGCTCTGCGCTAGACTTAGATCGGTGGTGACGAACCTATGGCATACGGGGCACGGTGGGCTGTTCCTATCACTGAAAGCGCTGAAAGGTTCACTCTAGGTGTAGCCATAATCACACCCCTCACAATGTCCATGCCTAGCACTCCTCCCCCTCACTATCCAGCTCCAACAGTCCCCGACCCCACTCCTTAAATCCACTGACACTGTGACCTCCTGCTGCCCCTCGCCTCCCTCTTGCCTGGCTCAGATTATGCGGTCCGTCATCACACCAACTCACCCACAGAGCATTCAGCTCCCTTATCCCTCCTCCCTCCAGAGAACTCACCTGACAAAATCCTAACCCTGGGTCAAATCCCACTCCTGCCCTCTCCTGGCCTGCACTTAGGCTGCAGGGAAAAGGTATCTTCCCAAACACCAGCTCCACTTCCAGTCCTCCTGTTTTATTTAACCCACCTGCCATCAGGCTTCTTCTTCTCACCATTTTACTCACACAGCTCTTACCAGAATCATGAGTAACTTCCACACTGCCAAACCACAGCGAATCTTCAGCAGGCATCTAGCTTGACCTTTGGTAGCAGCTGGCACAGCCACCAACTCTGTCCTCAGGACCCTGTCACCTGGTTTGCCTTCTCTAGTTGCTCCTCCTCACTCTTCTCTGCTTCCTTCCCCTACTGCTGGGTGCTGCTCCAGGGCTCCATATTTGGACTTCCCTGCCCTCCCTCCAGGATTTCTCTCCTACAATGTTCAGCAACATCCAGCCTAGGCCTCTCTTCAGAGTAAGATGCTCACTGCTGCCCACCCAACACCTCCACTTGGCATCTCAACACATTCCCGCTGGCTTGAACCACTGGTGGCACATCCATGACTGTCCCATCTGGCAGCTTGTACCAACCAATGGGCCTGTCACATGCCACTGGATGGGACAGGTATGCATGTGCCACCAGTGGCTCAGAGCTGCCCAGCAGTGAGACATATGAATTACGGCTCCATCATGAATGTGTTAAAGCCAAGCAGTGTGAAACACAGCTCCAGCATTCCCCTTGCCCTGCTCCCCAACACCCCACTCCCTAGGTCCACCCAAACACAAAAAGGGAATACTGCATTCTTCCAGGCAGTCTGTGCCTGACAGCAACATCCTCCCCAGCTCTCCCATGTGAACACAACCTACCTCAGCCCTTGCTCTGATACGTGCCCTGCAACTGCCTTGGCCCAAGCCTCCATGGGCTCTTGCAGTGGCCCCCACCCTACTCTCCTGAGCCAGGGAGCAGCAACTTTTTCTGTAAGGACCATGTGGCCCCTGTCACAAGGCTCAACACAGCTGTGGCAGCTCAAAGGCAGCCTTCAAGGGTATTCAGGTGAACACGTGTGGCAAGGTCCCTCAGGGCATGAAGGAAGAATGTGGTTCTCTCCAGTAGATGCCGGATTTTGAATTTCATATAATCTTCACATGGCATAAAATATTGGGGCTTTTTTCAACCTTTTAAAACTGTTAGCTGCCACTGCCACACTGCGATCAGAGAAGAAAGCTGAGGGAGGGAGTGGTTCCGGTACCAGCACCAGCACCACTGCCCTGATGGATCTGAGGTGACAGCAGCATAGGATCTGCCCGAGTGGCCCAGTGTGGCAGCAGTGCTATGAGCAGGGCACTCTTACATGGGCAGCAACATCAACCTCATTTCCAAGGCAGAGATCTGCTAAGAGGGCATCCTCTACACCACCACCACCAAGAACTCCACTGTAGCCCTTGCCAGAGTTCAATGTTTTGGTACAGAAGACAAACAAATGGTCCAATACGGCCTCAAAATGAAGTCTTTGAATACATTATATTCCGTGGGAGTGACATTTACAACCTCAGTTTGTGAGCCACCGAAGTCACAACATTCTTTGCCTCAGCTCCCAGCTATTGTTCAGTCTTCACTAGGTTCATCTACTTCTTCATTCCAGTCAGCTGGTTCCTATGAACCTTGTGGCAGGGTGCTGACCTACAGCCTGTTCAGTCCAAGTTCATTAGCTGAGCAGCAGTTTGGTGCTGTTGGTATTGCTGGAACTCCCTGGCATCCTTTGGAACAGAAATGTCAGACAGCGGCACCTTATCCCAAAGAAGTGCAGCTGGTTCTGCCTTTACACAGGATACAAGATCTATAAAAACAGTTATCTCAAGGTCGCTCCAGCCCTGACACTTTAAGAAGTCCATGGAACAAACAACACAGATTGCCTCAGCTCACTTCCCTGCTCCAGCACTTGCTGGGAGGAGGAGCCCTGTATCAACCAAGCCTTTGCCATCTACCAGCCAAAAAGCAACGGAGAACCAAGAGCAAAGGCCCGCTGAAGTACACAAAGTTTCAAGGCCAGAAAATGAGCAACTCAGAAATGACAGCAAAAGACAAGTAGTTTCAGATGCTTCTTCAGCTCCAAGAAGAGGATCTGGAGGTCATCAGGATGCCCAGGGAAGATTTGGTATTCATCAAGATGGATCCAATGAAATTCGAGAAAGACTTTGACTTTCAAAGCGCAAGTGTACAATTTAACAAGGAGGAGACTGACAGAGTTTCATAACAAGCTTAAATTAAAATAAGATAAACTTGAGAAACAAGAGAAGCCTATAAATGGTGAAGGGAGACTCTGGCATTGAGACCCAAAACAGTGAAGGAAATGCTGACGAAGAGGATCCCACTTGGACCCAACTGCCTTCGTGAAAAAACGAAATCCTTCTTTGATAATATTTCTTGTGATGATAATAAAGGCCAGAGACCACCCTGGGCTGAAGCAAGACAATTAAATGCTGAAACACTTATCTCTTCTTGGCCTTTTGGCTAAGATCAAGTGTAAATGCTGAAACACTTGAAATTTCACTTCCTCCAAACCATGGCTGTAGAGGGTAGAGGCAGAGGTGGCACCTTTACTACTCCTCAGGGATTCTGTGGTAGATTCATAGGAGGCCGTGGAGGAAGGGAGTTTGCAGATTTTGAATATAAGAAAGACAACAAAGTTGTTGCTGCATGGTCTTCAAATAAGTCTCTGAAAATGGATGAATTTGTAGCTCTCTCTTCATGGTCCTGATTAACTGGTTTCAATCTTCATGAAGAATGAAGAGATGAATTTGTTGCTTATTTGTCACCAGCACTGGGTTTTATTTTTCTGCTTAATTTCAAAGATACAACACAATTACTTTGGGGGGAGAGAAAGCTCATCTTTAAAAATGATTAGACTTACAAATACTTTTTGATCAGCCAGAGTATTTTCTTATCACAAAACTGCTCGTGGCAATTCTTTCAAGCTACCTGCAGACAGGGCCAGGATCTGTGTTCTGAGCCACAGAAGGATGTGCACGTGTATGAGCGTGTGTGTGTGTCTCTCTTTTTCCTTTCTTTCTTTTTGGAAATCCTATAATATGAGGTAGTTTATTTCATCAATTAACCAGGGTGCTGGCTAGTAGAGAATTCTGTCAGTCAACTACACATACACAGTACATGCTGTTTCTTAAGCAAAGGTAACTTTTTTTATATGTAGTTGTAAAATTCCATTAGATTTCACTGCCAAAGAAACATTAAGAATTTTGGAAAGCTGTATAAAAAAGCAACTAATTTTTAAAGAATAAACATTTTTAAACCGGCACAAAAAGTCAACAGCATCCTCAGCTCGCAGGCTGCACTGACACAGGCAGCAGGCCGGATGTGGTGCAGAGGCTGCCTGGAGTGCCTGCTGTCCTCTGTGCCTACCGTGACCCTTCTATCACGTCTTAAGTGCCCACGCGGCACTCCCTCCTGCTCAGTAAAATCAAAAGGCTTCACCGTGACCTGAGGCCCCGAGACACTGCTCCCGGCCAGCTCACGATGGCTCTGTCCCACTCTTGTCTCCAGCCTCCGCCCGCTTATCTTCCTGGCTTCCCTCACCTCGGCTAAACTGGATCTACTGTGGGGCCTCTGCTTCTGCTGTCCCTTCTGCTTGGGCCACTCTCACTGCGGCCACCCACATGGCTCCCTATACCACCTCCTTCACGCCCTTTACTACAGCACTAACTTACAGAGCATGTGCACGGGCAGACACCCGGACACCGGACAGACCACCTCGCTTCTGCACTCATCGTGGTCACTATCGCTGACATCCCCTCCTTTACTATTCAGGGAAGAGCAGGTCGGGGAGTTTCTTAACAGAGGGAAAGAGCACAGGAAGGAAGAGAGAAGCCTGGGCCAGATGCCGACAGCACCACTCATGAGCTGTGTGACCCAACCGAGGTAACTTCCTCATACCTCACCCGTGAAATGCAGGCCAAACAGTGCCTATTTCCGCAAAGTGACCTGAGGAAGACAGGCACACAGCACCGCTCAACTATGTTTTTTGTCTGCTGTTTACTATTGCTTTTCCCCAACCAGAAAACAAGCTCTTCCAGGGGAATAGAGTGATTCTCCTTACTGATCTATTCCAGATCCCTATGACAGAGCCCATACCAGGCACTCAGTAACAGGCACGGTGGTGCCTCGGTTCACGAACTTAATTCTTTCCATGATTCTGGTCACAAACCGAACTGGACGTGAACCAAATCAAATTTCTCCTAAGGTCAACATTGAACCTAACCACTGAATCTGATTTGGTTCTCGTCCAATTCGTTTTGGAACTAGAACTGAGGAAAGAATTAAGTTTGTGAACCAAGGTACCACTATATTTGAAATTAACTTACTTTGGAGAGGGTAGAATGCTCTACCTACCTCTCACCATCACACAGCTATCAGGGCAGGCAAAAGCTTTCTCCAACCCTACAGGGAGAGCAACAAGAAGGCACCACCCAGATGGGCTTGCTGCTCCTCCTTTCTGTGGAGAAAAGTCTATCTCCGGCCTTGAAGCAAGGCATGGAGTTTAACTTCCTACATAAGAAGCTCCCTACAATCTAAAACTGCTAAATACTCAAAGGTTACATATTCAGGTCTTGAATCACATTAGAGAAGAAACAGATTTCAGAGTCGAACCATTTGAAATTCTACATGTAAAATGCCGACTTAATATCTACTAGCACAATTCTGCAGAGATCTTATGGTATGTACAACCACAAAAGGCCACTGAAAGCAGCTTCCATGTAACAGATGACTCCTAAAGCCAAAGAGCATCTCCCCGCATAACAGGAGCCCGCCTCCCCCAGGCAGCGGACACATTTCTGTCTACCTGGGACACACAAGCTTGGGAGCCCATCACAGGTCTCATGGTTTAATATGTCTCCTTACAGCTGCACAGACAAATTTCTAGAGAATGACTGAGTTTTCATTTACAGATGACATTAAGAGGGTATTAAAACACTTCCAAGTTTTCCAATTTTACAAGTCAGTAATGTGAGAGTACTTGTGTAGCTCCCAGTGTAGGGTCAGCTCTTCGGGCAAAACTTCTACTTCTCTCAAAGCAGCACAGGGATGGTAAAGTCACCCACTGTTCAGCAAAGTAGAAACTATGCTCCTAAACGCTAAACTAAAATGCTCCTCTGTGAAGTAAGAAATAAACGTCTTCAGGACAGGTTCTACCAAAGAGAAAATAAACTGAGATGTGGGTGGTAGAAACACACCTATGTCAGCCAGTATGTAATTCCAAAGTAGAACTGCCTTTCTGCTTGAAAATCATGTGTCCAGCTAAGTAAACATTAAAAGGAGGGGTAAGAAAAGAGTTAAGGAGTGGGTGAATACCAAGACTGAGCAGCCAGGCACCACGTGCATGGCCTGCCTCTTCCCTGCACTGGCCTGGCTTCCTGCTGCTGAGGCAGCAGTGACTAGAATAAATGGCAGGGGGTGGTGGGGAGGTCCTAAGAAGTGATAAGACCCCAGATAAGTCTTTTTCTTTCAGCCCCTGTGGATGCTTTATTTTTTAAGTTCTATACTTGACTTGACTATTAAGGTCAGTGTGACATAGCAGAGGACCAGCATGAGGCAGGTGGGCCCAAGTCCCATCTCAATTCCGCACTGGTATACAGGGACAAAACCTAATGATGGAGCTCTAATTTAATACTGTATTTAGCTGATGATCCTGAATAACACTTTGTCAGCTTTTGTGACCTAGCACAAAACCACATGCCTTGTGATCCACCAGCTGGGCTGTAGTAATGACCTTGACTCAAGGCTTAAAAGCATTAGTTGGGACATAACTTTGATGTATTGTCTTTCCCTATCAAACTGCAATGACTGTCCCCACATTCGGCATCGGATGGGGTGATGCCAAAATTAGATCGTGGCTGGTTAATAAAGACTACCTTTCCCCTTTGGTACCACCATGAAAGCTGCTATTCTCTGCTCTGCTTGTTTGGAAGATCAAAAAGCCACGCTGTTTGGCTTACAGGATGCAGGGATAAGTACCATCTGCCTGGTCTGGTGTTTCTTTAATTAAAACTTTAATTACAGATCTATCTCTGCACAGATATGTGCAGTCTATCAGCTCCTGTTCTTAATTACCTGTGCTAATGAGAAATGAGAAGAGAATTAGTGTTTGCTGAGTGTCTACTATGTTCAAGAACTCATGCCAAGCAAGTGCTGTAAGATGGGCCAGAGCTGGAAAGGGATACCCAAAGCCAGACTTTAGCTGAGGACTTCAACCTGCTCCTTGACCAGTGCTCCTTGCACCACCACAAACAAGTTACAGGTCAGCTAGCTTCTCCTGTGGGAAAATGCAGCACTAAGAAAAAAGGATCCTAACAGAAGTGAAAAAAGGAAAAGGACAGTCAAACCTGAAGAAGAAATTCTGGGTAGGTGTGTGTGATATCTGCCACGTGGCACGTTTCTGGACCCACCTGAAGACATGGGTAGAAAGCAGAAATTCTCATCTGCATCCTTGATTCTGAGGCATGTCACATGGTGCCACAGTAACCACGGGCAGTCTCCCTGGCAGACAATACCACAAACGAGAACAACAGGAGCTGTTCTCTGTTATTTCCTGCCTATGTGGCAATTCTGTTGCCACCGTCTATATCAACTCTCTTTCTGACAAGGGCAGATTTTCACTGAGGAATGACAAAAATACCTTTCTATACCCTCACAATGTGTTTGTCTCTACAAAAGCCTTGGACAGGTGAAAGGCCACTAGAAAGAACTCATGAAGCAGCCAAGTGGCACCTGGGCCAACCTGCTGGGGTCAGGGGCAGCACACACAGCCTCCAGCTTCCACACAGAGGGCCCCTCTGCTCACCCTCAGAATGGCCCTAACTTTATGCCATCTGCTGCTGCCGGGGTAGGCAGCAGGAAGCCGTGGGAAGATCATTCCAACAGCTTCTCTAGCTCTTCTACAGAAAGTCAGCTCGCAGCAAGCCTCTGTGCACCAAAACACGACTGTGCGCTCTCCACTCTGGTGCACAAGACTAACATAACAGGAGAGCCGGCACATCCAAGGGCCTTGACCTCAGGCTCCTCATCAGCAGAATGAGGGTCTGGCTCAGGCAGTCGCGGGCCTTCCAGCTCAAAACTCATGTGTCTAGCAGTGTGATGTTAGGCAGCCCTGTTGCCAAACAACCAAGTTAGGGTAGATCACAAACAAAATCCAACAGTGTTCAGACCAATGAGGGGCGGTGCCTATTCTCTGAAAAAGAGATAATGAGAGACAAATTAAAGTATTTGAACACCTACTGTGTGTTGGCCACCTGGAGGATTTCCAGTCCTTTATGGTCTTAAGACAGATACACTGTGAACATCAGGTGAGTGGATGGAAGAGAGAAAAAGAGGGAGGACAGAACTTCGGAGGAGATGGGCAGAAGAGTGCAAATGGGAAAGGGAAAATAAACGCATAAATAATAGGAGGCAAAAGAAGAAAACTGAGAAAACAAGAAATGAAGCACAGCCTTCATTAGCCCTGTAACTAAGCACAAGACTGGCCTCAAGATAGTCAGGTTCTTGCTTGAAGACTCTTCTACAGAGCAGATGGCTACAACTCGGCCTACAAGAAAGGTACTGCTCAGTATTGAACAACTAAGCTTGCCCATAAAACCCCACTTTAACTACAATGAAGCCAACTATAGAATTAATAGGACTGGACACATCTGAGAAGCACAAATATGAATGTTCACAAATTACATATTTTCTCTTATTTATAAACTTCCTGCATTTCTGAACCTGTTGATCTATAGTTATAGTTGTCTGCTACAACAAGATCAGAATCGCTGGTGGGCCAAGCTCCAAGTTTCCAAAAAGCCACAGAAATTTCAGAGGTGCACCCAGTTTGACAGAAGCCATTGCTCTAGAGACCCTTCAGGAGCCATATGTGTAACAGAGCCTTCCTTGCGATCGTGGCAGAGAATTATGAGAGCCAGGTACACCTTCATGTGAGCCCTACTAAGTTAGGGGTGACATTATGTTAAAAGGTCTGGAAGCCAAGGAACAACGATGTATACAGCTGAGGCTCCTGCAACCAAAACGGCAGAACTGTTTCTTGTGAGGGGCTCCCCCAGGTATGCAGGTAAATGTGAGGCATGAGGGGTCAGGAGATGAGGAGAAGCACCTGGAGTTGAGCACCGATTGTGCATGAGGCTGGAAGAGTACATTTAACCTACCTGAGCACCAGCATTCTCCGGTGCAAAATAGAGTTCACATACCACCCACCTCGTAGGCTCATCTGGATGCTTCAAATACATGGAAAGCACAGGGAAGACTATGTGATACATATTCCTACATATGCAGAGATGACAGTGAGGTCCCCTCTCCCTCGTTCTACTTTAGAGGACACCAAAGCCTCATAAAGTCAAGCAAAAACCTTGAAATAGTTCAACACCCTGGCTCCTTCAAAGCTAGCTACAGTTTTCAGGGTGAACAGATACAGGACAGTAAGGCTAACTAGGTGAAAGGTGGCCTCCTCCTTAGGTCTGTTTCCTTGAGTCTCCATAACCAAAAATAGCTAAAATGGAAGAACCTGTTAACATAGAGTGAGGCAGTCCTTCATAAGCTCGACAAGCCAGGTGTAACTTTACCCACCAAACCTTCATCTGTTTCACAGGTGTTTAATCACCATAAACCATGCAGTTCCCCTTTCTCTGAGCACCCAACATCTCTACATCAGTGGCAAAAGATTGAGAGACGGGCGGGTTACAGTGTCATTTTGTGTTTGGTGTGTATGCCCTGCTCCTGATGGCCAGGTCTGGCCACACTACATGCCAGTGCTGCTTAAAGGATTTGGCACACATCACTCAGCTAAAACTCACCATGATCCTTTGGGTAGGTGTTATTATCATCCCCAACTTAAAGAGGAGGAAACTCAGGCACAAGGAGGGTAGGTAATGTGTTGCAGTCAGAACACTTGCAAGAGGCCGGGGTGGATTCGAACCATGGTCCTGGCCCTTCACCACGGGTTCACTACCACTGCCTCTTGGCACAGCCATAGGATGAGGTTCAGTTTCAAAAGCACCTTTCTTCTGAGTTCCCAGTGTGTTTCATTTATCCTCCCAACAACCCTAAAAAGCAAGTAGGAAACATACAGTATCTACATTTTACATACAAAAAACGGAAGTAGCATCAATGAAATGTTTTACAAACTCCTACATGGTCAGCCAAACAACCAATTTCACTGTTTGCACACCAAAATTAAAATCTGGTAAAGATTTCTGTTTTGAGTATTTTAGTTTTGGGTAATTAACAGATGCCAATGACATATCCAGAGACTTTGCTAGTCTGATGCAGACTTTCTGACTCTCACATAAGGGTTTTCTCAGTGAATCACAATTACAAAAACAATATCCATGTGGCTTATGACTTACATAAAGTTGCAAATACTAACCAAATAGCTAACGCTCACTGAAAATAAATAATAAATGTATCCATGTACTAGCTGTCTTTGAAAAATTAGCTTATCTTAAAATATATCAAAGGGAGAAAACCTTAAAATCTAATTGATCTAATCACAAAATAAAACACGACAATAAAAATTTCTCTTCTGTGTCTATTAATGTCCCTTCAACTCCAACCAGGCTTATGACTAAACCAGGTGGGAGCCCAGAGGGGAGCTGACTCTGTCCACAGGGAGCTTGGGGATCCTAAGGGACCAGCAGCAAGAGGAGTGGAGTCCGACAAGCAGTCACCACTCTCCGCAGCCCTGTGAGTCAAGAAATTCTGTCAGGCACCATTTCTTTGGTGCTGGAAAGTTACAGCATCAAAGACACAAATAAAGGACACACCTGAAGCCAAAAATGTCTCTTGGAATCTGAAAAACATTCCTGCACAACTGTGTAACTCACTGTAATAACAAAAAAAACTGCCTTAAAACTCAAGGTTCAGCGAGAAAGTGGCTCCCAACTGTTGGGACAGTTACAATTAAGGGGGCTTTACGATCACAGGATTTTTTTGCCTATTAGTATGTCTCAACTTTGATAATTTGAAATTCTGGGAAAAGATGGCCAGCAGGCCAAAGGCAGTTTTGCAGGTATGTGGGTATAATAGGTACAAACAACCTCATGACCCTGAGGAAGTGTTCATGAGAGTTGTGATCGCCAATGAACAGCTCGCCACGACTAATTTTAATTTCTGGTTCTAATGAATGATATAAACTTTTATAGGTATCAACAAAGCTCAGAGAGGACTTAAATCCATTTCAGTGCTCATTTAGCAGCTTCAGCTGTGTGCAATTAAAACATCAGCATTAAATGTTAAGAGAATAAAATAATGAGACGCTTAAAAAGTAATCTGTGCCTCACTGGGCCATGCTAAGAGATCTCCTTTTGGAGGGTAGGGTGATTTCTTAGGAATATCTTGCAAGTTCAAAGAATTAAGTTTGATTTTTGGTTTACTTTGCCTTTAAGTATTTTCTGAAAAGAATACAATAAAAATGCATTACTTGAAAAGCAAACATGAAATAGGAACAAATGGCATAAATCAATCTGGTATAAGGACCATCAGAGCTAAAACCAGGTTTCAGGGGAGACAACAGCAGTCTGGGTCATGTTAAAAATGTTGACTGCCCTTTAATTATGTCTCAAAGAAATACAATATTAAAGGCAGGGAGAGGTGAATTTTGGTAATGAAACAACTTTGTATTCTTCTAGCCCTTTAGCAAAAGTAAAATTAAAAATCTAAGCTTTTTCTCCCAATAATTCTTGAGAATGCAAAGTATAATCTGAGGATGGAGAGTGTGCTATTTCTGAAGGCAAGACAAGCTACCCTGCAGGACAGAGTTGCATGGTGATGGCAAAGGGGCTGTGTGAGGGGAATGGCAGTGGTTGGGGGGCTGGGGGGGGGGTGGCTGTGGTAACCCAGGTGTGAGTTATATGTGAACATCAGTTAATTCAGCCTTTGCAAAACATGGATATAAAAGGAAATATCCTGAATGGGGAAATGCACTCATTAAACTTAAATTTGTAAAGGATGAAAACACAGATTACACTTTATTTTAAAAAACTGAAATGAATTTTAATACAGAAAATGAAGACAGCATTTTGCAAATTTATCACTCAAAGGGGTCTCTCTATTTGAGGAAATCAGCGTGCTACACTTTGAGAGATGAAATGTTACAGCTTGTACACCAAAATTAAAAAATGAAATTAAATTAAAAAATGAAATGGTTACCAAGGTAATGCAGGTCAGGGGATCAAAGGTGAAGGGTCACACATTATTAAAAAGAAATCCAAAAGGACGGCTGCGTCATGATCTCTGCAAAACAAAGGAGCTCCAGTAAGTACAACTAATATCTCTGAGAATGCAAAATCAAGCTCTTGAAAAGAAGACTCCACTGTAATTGAACACGGTTATTCCTGATTACTAGTACAGCCATTTTTATTTAGATACAAAACCAAATTTTAATTACCTGTTATCAACAAAATTTTGTAAACATTTTAATCATTCAATCATATTAAAAACCAAAATATCTCCAATTGAAAGTGACTGGGAAGTATTGATATTTCAGTTGGAGCCCACACCCTGTTTTCTGGAAATGACAAGTGTCTGATAAGTTGCCAACGTATCAGAAATCTAATTTGGTCACAGCATGGTTGAGTTTTCTCCCTCTCCTCAAGGAATGAGTTCCAAAATTGAGTTTTTGCAAATTTCTTTCATTTGAAGTAGCTGCATAAAATTTCCATTATTGGAACATTTAGTATAACAATGTTCTAGAAGACAGCAATAAAGTGATACATGATAAAATAAACTGTGTAACTATATCTATTAAGATCTGTTCTCACATTCAACTTTCACTGCACAGGGAAAAAAATCATTTTAAGCAAAATAACTTGCTAGTTCTACTGGATTACACAGAGTTAATAGAAGATTGACATAAGGAATATTTAACAAAGGGAAAAAAGTTTCTGACAGGCTTCATTTCTTCAACAAATGTTATTATTTACTCATGGCACCCATTAACAAATGTTTTTAAAAGAATATAACAAGCTAAGGGATTTTTTTTTAATGTAGCTACCACCTAATTCATGACAAATTTAACTTTACGCAACCAACAGTAACATTAATAGTAATGGCAAATAATTTCAGCATTCACTTCACTAGCAAATAAAATAAACAGTTTCACACTACAGTCTTCAGTGTCTCCTCTGAAAAGTAAGCTTGAGCAGCTACCTTCCTACTTCAGGGTCCAACTCCTGACGCTTACTGGCCAGGAGATTCTGAAACATTGCGCACACGGGCCTGCCCCTTGAGGACAGGTTTGGAAGCACAACTAGTGAAGGGCCTTGGCTCAGTTGCCGCTCCTTTATCAACCCTCACTTGCCATTCCTTCTTCTGCTCCCCCAGTTCAGTTTTAGCCCAAAATATTGAGCACCTGGGTTACCCTTGTTAAGACCAAATTCCCCAAATACTTACATATTAAAATACAGACAACTGTCCAAACAGATTTCATTAAAAGGAACAGGATATGCTTTCTAGTAGCTTATGGCAATCAATAAATAAGCAAACTCTGTAAATGCCAGATTTCTGTTCCCTCTGATCAGGCTGTGTTAAAATAGCTTGCAGAGCTTCATGCACTGGATACAAGTGTGTTAGTGCCTTGAGGCTACATCTCTAAAATCAAGATTTCTTCCCTTTAGGTTGCACCACTGCTGAAAAGTAAGCCGGCATTCTACTTTTCTGGAGTGCTCATCTCAGTGTGTCACATATGCATTTGTTGCTGCGAGGCATGCAAGCAATTTTGAACACTACAGAAGGAATCAATACCCATCAAAACAATGCATACGTTGTTTTAGTGGTAACATTATCTAGACCATTTCAGCACATTTGTAACAAAAGGCAAGAAGCCAGTAGTGAGACCTTAGTCAAGTTTTGTTGTTCTAAAACATTTTATACTAAAAAGGAGAAGCAAGGCCAGGAATTTAGCTCAGTGGTTCTGCCACCTGCTGCGCAAGCGCCAGGACCTGAGTTTAATCCCCTGTACCAAAAAAGCAGAAGCAGCAAGCCTATTCAGACTGACTATCTCTAGGTCCCATTCATTAGCAAAACCTATATTTATAAACTCTACTTGACAACAAAATTAAGTACTTACAGATGCTTTTCAAAAAAGTCTACATCATTCTTAAAATTCACCAACTTACAAGAACCACTACCCGAAACTTTCTACCACTTTCTTAGGCTGTGCCAAGTAGTCAGAAATTGCTCTTTAGAACCGCAATATTACAACCAACCGAATTCCCACAAATAATTCCACAGGACTAAATCAATCCTCCTAAACACTTAGCAGATCTGACAAACTGGTTTTGAATGAAATTGTGTCAATAATGACAACATTTTAAGTAATTTCAAAAAACAAATCAATGATGGATTTTAGCTAATGTTTTCTAAATGAGTTTGCCATTTGGGAGGGGATGGTAACAGCTGCAAGGAGTTTACTGTGGTCCTCAGTCAAGGATACAGAAACAGAATTTAGGAAGTAGAAAGAAGGCTAAAAGGCATCAAGGGACAACTGACGCTACTTTAACAACACAGAGCGCACCCTCAGCGTGCAGCCCATTTGCTGGGCAGGTATGTGGAATTCACATGTGTTTTCCACAGAACTCACTGGAGTTGACGCCTTCCTATTTAACCTGAAAACCATTAAAGGGAAGGTTCTGCTCTGAATTCTTAGCGCTTGTGAGGCCTGGAATAGCTTCTTCACCCCCTGATGGAGCTGGCCCTCATCCTGATTTTGGGTTCCGTTTCTCTTTGGCACTTCTCACCTCCTAGCCCTATTCCCAGGCCCCCAGTCAACAGTGCCCCGTGAACCAAAATTATGCAGCTTGCTTTCTTCTCCACAAGCCTCCCTTTTCTTCACTAAGGCCACAGGAAGCTAACGACTCCAAATGGACTGAATCAATACACGCACCAACTAAGAGGTTGTCATTCACCCGAAACAGATCCCCAACTTGCGCAACCACAGAGTTCTCCCACATCGAGGGATACAGAAGGCTCATGGGCCTCAGACAGACTTCAAAAGCACAGTCTGTCTCTGTAAGTAGTAAATGAATTAAACAGGAAATGCTCAAAAGTCCTAATATGGGTCCAACTGTAGCACACATGGTATCCTTACTCTGAAACTGGGAATGACTCTAGGCCACCACAGTCATGAGCTACACACTCAGAAGCAGGATAACAAGTCTCTGACACACCATCGCGTCACCAACGCTCTAGCAGAGAGGGTTTCTCCAGGGAGTCTCACCTGGGGCAGCTCTAACACCTGGACCACGCTGTACTGGGATCTGGCTTTCCTAAACTCAATTTGTGCTATTATAGGGAGGCGGGTCAAGGAGCTGGCTTGCTCTAAAATAAACAGACATAAAGCAAAGAAATCATTTCTAAGAAAGTTAAAGCATATTTCTTTTGAAGTAAAATACATCGAAGAATGGGAGAGAAATGAAAAATACGTTACAAAAGTCCAGTCAAAGAAACCAGGAGACAGTTGAAGAAACCATTAAAACAGAGCCCCGGACATTTTACTCACTCTTTACAAAACGGCCTTTAACTCAATGGTATTATATAAGGCTTTCTGCAGCAGAAACTAAGCTCAGCAAGTATATTCGGCAAGGAAAGAAATACCCAGCCAAAGCCAATTTCAATGATGGGCAAAATTTATCATTTTTAATCTATAAATATAAATAAATCACCAAGATACCATTCAATAAAACTAAAATGCACTTCAGCTAACTATACCCTTGAATTAAGTGGGGATTACATTCCTATTACCACTTCAGGTTAAGGGGTTTTTTTCTTTATTTTTTTTGGTACTGGGGATCAAACTTGGGACCTTTCGCTTGTGAGGCAGGAGGTAGAACCACTGAGCTAAACCCCCGGCCCTCAGGTTAAAGTTTCTGTTAGGTTTTCCAGCATAGTAGAAATACTGTCCATTAAAAACTGAAGAAAGGGCCAGGGATTTAGCTCAGTGGTTCTGCTGCCTGCCCTGCAAGTGCAAGGACCCGAGTTTGATCCCTGGTACCGGGAAAAAAAAAAAAAAAAAAAAACTGAAGAAAAAAGGAGGATTTAGTTCCCATATCTGAGACTCAGCCATGTGTGGCCCCCAGAGGGGGCCTCATTCTGCCTTCCTCTCCCCATGAGCCACATTCACCATCCCTACTGCTTTTCCGACCTCCTAGAAAATACACTTCCTGTCAAATCTTTCAAAGATGGCCTAAGATATTTGTCAGTTCCTCAAAACTTTCTAAAATAATACAGCAACCTATACCTATAATCATCATATTATTTCCACTATATTCTTCCCCAAAAGCCCTAAAACTACAATTAAATACTTTCCTGCTACTATTTTATCCTCAACAATGTAACTTTTTCCCCTAATAACTTCAAAGATTTCATTAAAGGATAATAAGTGGAGGAGGAAAGAACTCAAAAAGTGCCAGAAAACATGACTGCTGCCTATGCTCATTAGCATAGTGCAGGGATGGATGGTCATGCGGGGCCTACATATGTACATTTATGAACTCACACAAAAATATGTTATCAGGAAGACAAATCCCACACGTTTTCACTTGGATGTGAAAAGTGAAAAGTTGATCTCACAGAAGCAAAGAGCAGAGGAGCAGTCCAAGAATCTGGGAAGAACGGGGAAATGGTTATGGGTCGGCAGTGGACAGGAGGAAGAGCCTGTAATGTTCTGGAACACACTAGAGTAACTCTGGTGTAAGAGCTAACAAGATTTTGAATGTCTGGGTTAATGGATATGGGATACGCCAATAACCCTGACCTGATCACTGCACGTTGCACATGCACTGAGACATCATGCTGTACTCCACAAACGTGTATAATCACCATGTGTCAATTACAAAGAGAAATATATTTTTAAAACGTGCAAATGTTGATTTCCTAAAATGAGGGGAGATGCATTCTTTCTTCTGCTTTAAATGTTTGATATAATTCATCAGTTAAAATGCATATGAGCCTGTGTTGTCATACAGGTAGGTTTTCAAGCTAGGAATACACTTTCTTTAATACGTGCTATTCACATTTTATATTTCCTCCAGAGTTAGTTTCATTAATTTGTCTTCCAAGGTACTTCTTAGAAGTTGTCAAATTTATTTCAAAAAAGATTTTTGTAATATGCTTTCTATATCCTTTTAAATTCTGTAAAATTAGTGGTAATGTCCTCTAAATTTTAATACTGTAATCAAAAAATGTATAATTGATATTGTGTAATAGAAAAAAAGGTCTAAAGGAGTAGAGGAAGT